CTTAGGGCCAAAAGAAATCTACTCCCTTCGCTGAGTTACTCTCAGCTCGGGAGTGGGAGGCAATTGATGAGGGCAGATTTGGCCCTCCAGTGAAATTGTGACATGTGGCACCTCGTGACAACTAGGCAAACACCCAGGCAACAACTTACCAAGTTGGTGTCCCACCCGGGCACCGGTCTGGCTGGCCTGGCGCGATTTGCACGCGGCCTACGGGCGACTTGGCGCGGCTTGGTGCGGCTTGCATGCGACCTGGCGCAGCCTATGCGCAACCTAGCGTGGCCTGGCGCGGCCTGCGCGACCTGGCCGGGTCAGCCTGGCACATGATCTGACCTGGCCGACCTGGCAACCCATAAGACGCCCACCGATAAACCATAACAGCATACCCCGCAAGCTCGGTAGCTCACCAAGGAGCTTGCCAAGGAGCTCGGTAGCTCACCAAAGGGCTCGCCAAGGAGCTAGGCAGCTCTCTAAGGAGCTCACCACCAAGGAGCCAGGCAGCTCGTCAAAGCTCGCCACAAGCAGCTCGGCATAGCTCCCTCGGGCAGCTCGCCACTTGTAGGGTAGCTCGGTATAAAAGAGTAGTTTGGCGTATCGCAGGAAGATCTCCTGCCTGACAACCTGGCCCAGACACCGACCCGCCGACTGACACAGGTGCCGACCTGACAACCTGGCCTAGGCACCGACTTGGCCGCCTGACAACTTGGCCCAGGTTTCAACCTGGCCGCCTGACACAAGCGCCAGCCTGACAACCTCGAGGAGTTCACCACCGTACCCCGGTTCGGACGGGATATGACGAGTGTTACCGTTTGAAGGCTTTTCACCCACCTAACCCGCGAGGACACCACTATATAAGGACTCCGACCCCCAAAGCCAAAAGGGGGGAAAGAAAAGGATGGTAACCCCTGCTCTCTAGGTCTCTCATTTCTCTCCAAGCTCTCTGTAATCAAAATGCTAACTTAGGCATCAGAGAGTCCTCGTCGGGAAAATACCCCCGGGTCCTCTGATTCAGTTCTCGCAGGTCCCTCAGCTCCCGCCGCCTACAAAGGAGAGGAAATCACCTCATGTAGAGGGCAGTCGAGTTGCACTGCACCAGGGAGCTCCACCATCCTCTGAGTTGCAGGCCGCCTAGGAGTAGGTCAAATGACGAGTCCACCAGGCAGTTCTCCCCCAGGCAGTTCGCCACTTGGGAGTTCGTCACCAGGCAGCTCTCTACCAGGCAGTTCGCCCCCAGGCAGTTCTCCCCCAAGCAGTTCGCCACCAGGGAGGTCGCCACCAGGCAGTTCTCCCCTAGGGAGTTCGCCACCAAGCAGTTCGTTACCAAGTAGCTCTCCACCAGGGAGCTCGCCACCAGGTAGTTCTCCACCAGGCAGTTCGCCACCAAGTAGCTCATCACCAAGGCACGTCACCACTGGGTCAAATAACAAGGTACTTAGCCAAAAAAATTTATACATCACAAAAAATTGGTACGTGACAAAAAACGATTACATCAGGTATAGTCTTAAATTCGCTTCACAAGATTTGGAAGCCCATCCGGTGGTATGCTTAGTCTCATGACTGCATTAAAATCAATTTTGTACTGCTGCGTGTATTGCCTGTAATCAATTTGGTTGTGTCTTGGATGCCAAAGCTGTCAAGATTAGTTATTGTTCTATCAATCAAGCCGAAGCGGGGACTGCCTTAGAATCCATTAAGATGACCTCATATTTTCATCAATTTCCGATCATTATGGAAGGCAACTCAAAGTTGATAATTTCGTGCCTCAACCAGAAAATGAAACCCCCTTGAAAGACGAGGAACATTATTGAGAGTTGCTCCAAGGATGAAGAATACCTTTTGTAAAAGTGTTTTCTTTCGACTTGTCGACAGAGAATCGAACTATGCTGCAGATTGGATGGCGCGCGAAGCCCAAATAACTACGAATCTATATCTTTTATTTTTCTTCCCAAATAACTACGAATCTATATCAAGCTTCTCGGCATTCTCACTTTCACTTTGTTTTTTTCTCTTTCAAATCTCACATTTTGAGTTTCTGTCGTTTTCTACAGTTAGGCAGCTAGCCAGTCAGCTAATAACTATAGCTATGTACTCTGCTTTAGCAACAGTCCTACAGCTAGCTACAGTAGGCAGTAGTTACAGCTATCTAGTCTTCTATATTTGCAAACCTTTTCTAATCTTCCATTTTATTTCTTCCTCTCTTCGAAATTAGTTCGAATCACCCTTTCCCTTTCTCTTTTACTCTCAGTTCTCTCTGGTTTTCTTCTTCCCCACATCGACTGACGGCCTCCGAATCTTCGACCGACGACCTCCGGTCTCCGATCAACGACCTACGAGTTTTCACTTCTTGGTTTCTCGTCTCTCAGTTTTTTCTCTTTCTCTGAGTAAACGCTTTTCTTTTTATCTCTCACTCTCATTCTCAGTTCTCAATCTCTTATCTCTCTAGTCTTCTTCTTCCCCAAACCGACCGACGGCCTTCGAGTCTTCGACCAACGACCTTCGGAATCCGACTGACGGCCTCCGAGTTCATTTTCTCATCTCTCAGTTCTCTCTCTTCTTCTTTCCCAATGGGAAAAATCACAGATCGACCAATGACCTCTCTTTTTTTAGTACATAAAAAATCGAAAAACCTAACTGCGATTAACCGATTGCATCGGTTCGGACCGTTCGGTTTCAATTCGTATACTCAAAAAATCGATCAGATCGGTTCGATTCACAAAATAACCTCAACTGAATCGTCAGCACCCCTACAACTTGAATACTTGATGACCGTTGCTCAGGTTTGAGCTCGGATTGGGTTAGGATTGATCCTAACCCGACCTAATCCGGTCCGGGTATAGACCGTCTGATAATCATGAATGATTCCATAAGAACGGCTCGATGGAGAAACATCTGGATTTGATCCCTCAATTCCTTGCAAATGAAGTATTATGCGGCATTTTAGCTCTCCGTCTACTCATCTCCTATTCTCCTCGCTCTTATCTGATTATCTCCATCCTAACATTCTTCTGACCGTGCGATCAGTTCGGACAATGATGAAATCGACGACCCGGATTCCATATTCTGGGTCGTTTTTGCTGCTTCTGCTCTTCCAGACAGTCTCCCCGCCGGCGCCATTACCGGCCGAAGCCTTCTCGGTGTGGCAATGGCGAACCCTAATCTCACTTTCCCACTCACTGATGAATCGAGTGGCCAACCTCCGAGCTTCGAGAGGAGATTACGAGGGGTCGATGAGGGCGAGAAGGATCGCAGAGAAGCTGGAAGGGGGAATGGGGGTAGGGTTAGGGTTAGGGTTGTGGTCGGTGGGGTGGGACTACCTGAAGAACTACGCCTGGAGAGAGATGGCATGGTCGGAGATGGCGGGTGCGGTTTCGGACATGAACGAGCTGCTGAAGGGTCTGAATGAGTTGACTCGGATGGGATCGGACAAAGACAGAGCGGCCTGGGTTGCAGCCAACTATCAGAGTTTGTTTAGGGTTTCGAAATCCCTCTCTCGCAGGCTCCTCCAGGTGTTCCGTCAGTCGGTGCGTTTTTTTTTTTTTTTTTCCTTTTCCCACTCGTCACCCCTCCCCTTTCCCCCTTAGTTAATTAATTTTTGAAATTTGAATTTTGAAATCCATGAATGAAACAAAATACAATTTTTTACAACAGGGTCCATTTAGGGAGATGGTGTTGACGGTGCAGAAGGAGATGGAGGAGGGGAGGTTGCTGAAGGACTGCCTTGAACTGGGAGCCCAAGATTTGAAAGGGTTGATTCAGGTTGTTAGGGATATGGCGTTACAGTTGTCTTCCGATTCCGGCCGAAGCGATCTCTGATTTCTTGATAGCTTTTTTTGAGCTTTTTCCTTCTGTAAACGAGAGAATCAACTTCTCTGACCATGCCAGAGTAAAGTTTATCTTCTGTTTTTCTAATGGCGCAGAGTAAACTTTAAACCCTAAACAGCACAAAACTCTATTCGAATCTTTAGTTCGTTGGAGAATACTTCTTTAGCCACTAATATTGCTCACTACTATCCTCTTAGGCTCTTCTTCACCACATAAACGGGGATTTGTTTGCCTCAGCCCTCGACAGAAACAGTTATTCAGAAACAAGAATAGGAATGAACTTTTAGTTTATATTTCTTCCAATAAATAGAACTTTTCCACTCATTCCAAAATTAGAAAATAAAGGCAAAATTAGTGGAGTGGGCATGGGGAGTGGATCTTCGCTACAAATTGCATTATGTTAAGAAGTAATGTTTAAAGTAGAATTAAAAATGCTCCTTTCTAATTCTCCATGAAGAATTAGGAGTTAATTCAATAAATTGGATAATTTGTTCAGTGTTCTAGTAAAAGAATGTATAATGCTCAAATGGTATTAGAAGGTTTCCAATTTGGGTGAACCTATAGGGGGGGGGGGGNGGGTTCCTAGTCTTCATGAAAACATAGTGAATGGTATTAGAAGATTCATGTTTCATAATTGGGAATTTTGTATGAAAGTTCCTCAGAGTCCATTATCATTGCCTCTATTTTACTCCATCATTAAACCTATGAAGACAACATGAACTTAAAGAAACATCCATAATCGTATCGCATATAATTCTAGTATTACTTAGTTTATTATTTTGGTTGTTTATATTATATATAAATGAATTTGTAAGTTTTGTTTTTATTTTGGTTTATCATCTTCATGTAAATTGAGGCATCCCATTCCAATCATGCCACATGCATTTGTAAATTTTATTTTCTATTTGCTTACTGTTATTTGTTCTTCACTTGGTTGTTATTGTCTCACACACTCTTTTCTAGGTAAATGGAGTCTCATAATGAACATAAAGATGCTAATGAACAATCTAAAATTATTAAAGGAGTTGACTTAAATATGCCTACAGATGTAGAAGAAGATGAAATAGGCAAGGAAGTGGAGTCTGATTTTGAATTTAGTGAAGATGAAGAAGATAATAGGGGTGATGGTGTTATTGAGAAAATCCAATGACGAAGGATGATATAAATGAAGAGAACACTAACATTCAGATAGATAGAGGATGATAATGGCCTATCAAATATAAGAGCCTAGTGAATTCAATTGATACAAGTCGTTTTCTTGAGGTAAAGTGCTAATTTTGCAAGTGGATATGTGTTTTCCTAGTGTGAAAGAATTTAGGTCTACCCTTAAAGAACATATTATTGTCAAAGGGTTTAAAATCAAGTATATAAAGAATGAAAAGTATCAAGCTACAACTCAATGTGCATGGAAAGAATGCCCATGGCGTGTACATACTTCACCACTTTAAGGTGGTCTTATCTATTGTATTAAGTCACTTGATCCCGTACATGATTACCCACGTATATACCATAACAAACAAGCAATTAACACTTGGATTGCGTGCTGAAAAAATTGCAAATAAGTTGCAATAAAATCCCACTTGGAAGTTAGATTTCATAATAGTGGAGTTCAAATAAATGTTTTATATAGAAGTTCCAATGTGCAAAAGCAATGTCAAAGTAATGAAACTAGTTGAAGGGTTCCATAGAGCCTGGATGGTTACGTTACCTATTGTCAAGTAATATTAAAATAAAACCCAAGAACAAATAGAATAAATGTGGATAGGCCTACTCCCAACACCTCCTATTTTTCAAAGTGAATATTTGTTATGATGCAATGAAAAGAAGGAGCTTTGATTGGATGTAGGGGATTGGTGGGTTTAGATGGTTCTTACTTGAAAGGGCTACATAGATGAAACTTTGCTTGTTAATATTTATTTCAATGGTAATAATGACACTTCCTATTGGAATATCTCTTCTCCCACAAAACATTCGATATAAGTGATGGTTAAAATCAAATCTAGATACTATAGAGCAACAAAGGACACAAATGTTTTTTACCAAAAGTTGCAAGGTTGATTGAGAAGCAAAGACACCTTTCTAGGTATTTATTAATTGTTAAATATTTTTGTATACTCACCTTATTCTAATTATTGAATTGAAAGAACTGCCAAGTTTTGAGGTCCAGGGAGTTGGACTATGAGGTGCAATGCCATTTAGAACAGTGTTTGTTTGTAGCATTTTTCTTGTAGTTGTTGGGTTTGGGACATTAATGGTATTCCTTGCAAACATGTAATGGTCATGGCAATCTATAGGCAACAAAGAATTTAAGATTACTTCAATGAATGCTAGAAAAGAGAGAAATATTTGGCGGACTATGCTCTAACAATTCACCCTATGCTAAATCAAAACTACAAGCTAGGAAGTTCTTGGGATCTCAATAAAGCATTACCATTAAGAAAACAGCTAAGAAGACCAAGAATTGCTAGAGGAAGAGCACATGTTCAAGATGCAAATTTTATGGACACAATAGTAGAGATTGTTAAGGGCCAACACCAAGGAATAGAGGAAGCAATTCCAATTTGGTAAGTGGGATTGGATCATTTACCCATTCACAACAATAATCACATCATTTGTAGGTACTATTAATATGCCAAACTTGAGATACATTATTTGCATGCCAAGTATTTTTTTTTTTTTCCTTAGGTTCAGTTTGGAAAGAGTACAAATGCAAATACGCACGGTGCAAATACATACAAAATAATACAAAATATAAGGTTTTGCACTCTACATATTTTCATTTGTGCTTTTCCAAACTGAGCCTTAATGTTTATTAAATCTTTCTTTTCATTACAAATAGAAAGAATAAATAGAGGTGGGAGAATGTCTAGTAGAGCCAGGAGGCTCCAAAGTCAACCGCGAGAAAACATCATTTTAGATATTATTTAACCAATATGTATGTGACTTTATATTTATTTTGTTATTTTCAAACATATAATATAGTTTAACACTAAAACCATTGATGATAAGGACATGTGCAACCTAGGAACTAAGAGATGCTCTATTCTCGGTTAAGAGTGCACTAGTGTCTAAGAGAGCCATGGAGCCTCAAAGTCAAAGTCAACCTCAAGTTAAAGGACAAAATATAATTTTATAGGTATTAAACTGATATGTGTATGACCTAATATTTATATACTAACACTAAAAAAGTGGATTTCAATAGCATGATCTCACCTATGAGACCAATCTATACTATTATTAAAAGTGTAAATGAGAAGGTGGAAGTTTTGTATGATTAAAATACCCTCTTCTAGGGGGAATGCCTCTTGATTGCTACTTACCTCATCAACAAATTATTGACCCCATCCTTGGATGTCGTTCTCCCCATGAGGTCCTATTTTGTAATTTATGCTATGCCTCCCCCTCACACCTCTAATCAAACAAATTTGCACCCCATGCTGGCAAATGCATTTTCGTTGGCCATCATGGCTAATGGCCCTACCATCTTCATGATCTAGACACCAAATGCTTCTTTACAAGTCTAGATGTCCATTTTCATGAAACCATTTTCCCTTTCTCCCTTGTTTCCAATTCTACATTAACTAACTTGCCCTCATCCATCCTATTTGTATCCATCTTTGAAAACGACTTCATCCCATGCACCACACCACTTGATCCATTGCCCCTCTCATTGGATCCACCATTTATGTCGTCGATTCCCTCTACAATAGTGGGTACCATTAAGCCTACTAGACCACCAGCCCACCTTGTAGACTATTGTTGTAATGCTTCTACTGTGGCCCTCTCGTCTTCTTCCTCACAAGGTACTCCCTACCCTATTTCTAATTTTCTTTCACATAAATGGTTATCTACCCCACACTATGCTTTCCTTTCTAATATTTCATCCCATAAAGAGCCCACATCCTTCTCTACTATAGTCAAGAATCTTGATGATAAAGATGCAATGGCCAAAGAAATTTCTATGCTTGAATAGAACAACACTTAGTCTCTTACCTCTTTGCTAGTTGACAAGTCCTTCATAGGCTCCAAATGGATCTACAAGATTAAGTACCACTCCAATGGATCTATCAAGCGATACAATGCTTGCTTGGTGGCATAGGGTTTTATCACAATACTTTTGCTCTCATGGCGAGTATGAGGAAGATCTCTATATGAAACTAGCCCCAAGCTTTGGTGTAAAAGGTGACACTTGCATTTGCAAGTTGTGAGCTCTAGAAAGCTCATGGCCCGTACAAAGAAGTGGAGTCACCACCTATGTTTCAGAGGAAATGGACTATCATTTTTAGCTTCAAAAAATCGATTTTATTGTCTTGATAGTGGCTCTATCCTCTACCAAGAAAAGCACTTAATCGAGAAGCTTTGGATCTTAAGGATTGGGAGAGGGAAGGTATTAGGCACCCCTCTCTTCAAACTGTTATAGCAGCCTAATATGTGAGTTATTTAGGATCAATTTTCAGCAAACGAACTAATGAAAATGATTACTTTGAACTCTTGAAATCTGGTGAAAGCATTCCCAACTTCTCCTAGAACTGATTTGAGGTAATGTTATCGGGCCTTAGATACTAATTTCCCGAAAACCCTCACATCTCTACTTCTTTTTCTCAGTTTATAAGAAGTTGATAACACAAATTCTCCAAGATCTCAAAACTTCTAGAAACCAAAAACTAAACTAACAAAAACTGAGATTTCGAATCTAAGCAAAGGAGAGAGTGGGATGCTTAACTCTCCTATGTAACCTTGTTAATGATATTCTATTAATCGAACTGATCAAAATAGTGGTTGAATGAGCTCAATAGAAGTTTAAAACTGTTTAATAGTTCGAGATATTGCGCATATTTTAGATTTGAAATACAATGGACAAATTTGGATTTTTACGGAGGTTGAGTTGGGAATGGAAATTCTATAGAGGTTGGGGAATGCTTCTGAGGTCTTTCATCAATTTCTCCTCTCTCCAAATCCTCCAAAAATCCTTCTTAAAGCTTGATGTTTTCCTATTTATAGAGAAAAGGATGGGAAGAGGATACAAAATTCACCTAATTAGAGAGCTTATACTTCAAGACATATTTTTTACAAAAAAGAAAAGGATA